CCACTTGGGGGTGAGGAGGGGCATCAGTCAAGCAGTTTATTTAAATAATATCGTCTTTTCCAAATCTATAACACACAGCCTTTCAATACATTGTTTTACTGTCACGCTTTAAAACCTTTATCCTTCAATGCAAAACATTCCATCAGGCCATGCTTTCATGACCATCGCATTTACTCTACTATACGTAGTTTTATTCAAAGCATGGCTCCGAAATCTTTTAGCTTTTAGACCTGGTCCCATCACGAGTCAATTTCTGAAGCAGGTCTGTGGTCATTTTTCCACAGGAAATAATTTTTTTTGAAGTAGTCATTTAGGGCCATTTTAGTCATTCCCAGGGATTCTTTTTACTCCAAGAGATTTTGGCCAATTGCTCCCCAGTTTAAACCACATACTAGACAAATGGAAAGTGATTTTTTTTTTCTCCCCCCGCCATATCTTTCCCCCCCCTGACGACTTCACAATATATATATCGCCAACACCTGTCATTTGAACAGGGGTGTGTAGACTTTTCGCTGTTGGCTGTGGGAATGTAAGGAGTCGAGTCCATCTCTTGGTTGAATCATTGCTTTATTAAGAAGTGTGTCTGCAGACTTATGTTGACAAAAATGAATCTCGGACATTTTTTGGGCTGTGAAGATAACAGCTGCTCAGTGTGGACATCAAACTCTTTTCTCAGTCACTTTCTTCTTCCAAATGCTTTCTGCCACAGGGTGGGGCTTGTCTTAACAAAGCCCTCAAGGCACTTGAAGTGTCTGCAAATATGATCCCCCCACATTGTGGACTGCAGCATCCCTGGCATTGTTTCACACGGCTAGCTTGTTTCCCCTTCATTTACAATCGGAGCACATCTCAAGCCCTATCCTGAAATCAGCTTCCCATCCATATTTGCCCCCTCTCTTGGCGAAGAAATGCAAACTGTAATCAGATCAGTGGAATGGAGATGAGTGGCATAAAGATGGGCGACATGAGTGACAATTCAGAGGAATCAGCATAAGAAATGGAATGGCTTGTTGTGATAACAGAGATGTGGACTTGATCAGTCAAATGGTTTGTTTTGGTTCTATTCTTCTATAGTTGTCTGGAAATTATTTTAAATTGAGATAGAGGGCCAAGATAGATGACTGGTAATTTTTGTCAATTTTGGGCCTTAAAGTAATTCTAAGACTGGGCAAACACAAGAGAATGATGTTGAGATGGATGGCTTTGATCGCCCTGTGACTAAAATTAGGCCTCAAGCAAGCCCTGTTATTTTTATTTATTTATTTTTTTGGCTGTAGATTTAAATGTGCTGGTTCACTGTACATTTAAAAGCTCATGTTTTATCCAGCAGATAGCCTATGCCTGTTGGAAATAAACTCCTGCAAGCCAATAAAGAGTGAATGAGGAGAAACCTTGGAAAGTGGCAAACTACTTCTTTGTCTTTTACACATATCCCAAACCTAATCTTTGTTTCCCCCCGCTAAGTGACAGATTTCTGTGAGTGTGTGGTCTTTGGAAAAAGTACAGTTCTGGAAGTAAACATTACATTCCAATAGTGAGGCAAGTTTGCTGTAGAACACAAACTACTCACTACAATATTCATGAATTGCCTTTGGAAACGATTGGGTCTCTTGCAGTTTTTTCCCTGTTAAAAAGTCTGACCCTGACAGTTCCAGCTCCTCATCTGCCAACATTTGACTAGTGCTTAAGGACTTTTGGGAAAGTCTTTTATCTGGACGTGCATTAAACAGTCTGCGGACTACAAAATACATGATGAATTTCGGATTTCATTATAACATTTAAATGGTTTATTCATGATCCAGTTGAAAAGTTAGGTCAAATGTCAAATAAAATTCTTGAAGGGAAAACCCGGATTGCAAATTAAAGTGTAAAAAAAAAAGGTACAAAATTATTTCAGTCGCAATTTCGTGTCAATATACCGTACACTACCCTATCAGCGGGATATACTTCACACTGTTATTCACTCTCATTTAATTTTAAACTTTTGTGAACACTTCTATTTCACTACTTCTGATATAATGCTTTGGATCCCATGTGTGAATTTCACATGCATGTATGAAGTGAATCACAACACATGCCACAAAGCAGGAAATCATTCTAAACTAGAAATTGCAATACCCGCAAACATATGCGGACAAATACAGGCGTTGCGTGAGGAGTCTAACTATAAGTGTTTAATGCTAGAATATCGCTCCATCTTTGCTTCACTGTCCAAAATAGTGGTGCCTGGACATACGCATAATCCAACTGAGACTTTTTTTTCGTGATACAATTACGTCATGCAGCCGACTTTTGGCTTTGACTTGCAAGCAAAACTTTCAGATACGAACCCCCCGTGGTGACAGTGAACTCAACTCAACTCACTCTCAACCAAGCGGCCGTTTACCAGAATATTGTGAATATTCTTCAAAAAAGAAGTTTCCAGCCGTTAAATGCCATTCAGAGTTGATTTAGTGTACTGTGAAACGAAATATAAAACTAAGAGAATTAAGTCATGTATTTAAATGAATCAAGAGGATTAATGTGTCACTTTTTTGGGTAACACCTTACTTTCTCAATCATAATAACACAGTTACTGTTACTGCTCAAAAATGTGGTGCATTACTTTAACCGTTTGATCACTGAAGCTGTCTTCATCAGACCTACAAAATCTCTAAACTGAGAGGCAGCTTTAAGCCAGTTAGAGGAAGAGTTGGAGGAGGAGGGCGAGGAGAAAGAAGAGAAGAAGGAGTAGTGTGATTGCTTTGTGTGCTGTTTGCTGCTTGCTATTCATGCATTGTTCCTGTCACAAGTCTCGTTGTTCCAGTGGGACTTGAGGTTTATGTTGTTAATTACCACTTTTGTAGTTTGTATTGATTTTGTATTTCCATTTTACATCTCCTTCATGTGATATTTCAGTAGATCTTTGATTTTCTGTTTTGTTTTGCAAAATTAGCTCTTTGTTCCACTCGGCTCCGTCCATCACCTTTTGGAAGTGAGTAGTACCACTCGTTTTTTGTTTTCACTGCAACATTTTGTCGCTATTGTTTTAAGTTACTCTTCATTGCTTGCTTGTGCAACCTTGCTGGAATCAAGCCTATGACACTGCTCTCAAATCTTTATGTCTGGATGATAGCTGTAAGGCCAACCTTGACATACTTTACAGAAGAGTTTGAAGCCCTTTATTGTTTCACTGTTATGGATGATATTTTGTTGAAAATACTATGTATATACACACACACACTCAGACACACACATGCACGATTACAATTGGTTTACCGTGATGCATGAACTGTTACAATTTATGTAATTGTGTTTTTTAAATGCATGATATTATAGGATGTTGTATTGTAGGTTTTTTTTTTGAGAGGCTGGAACGGATTAATGGCATTTTCATTCATTTCAATAGGAAAACATGATTTGAGATCCAATTTTAGATTGCAAGCATGGTCACGAAACAAATTAAACTTGCATCTCAAAACTGTATGAAGAAAAACTAATTTGAATTTAAAAACTTTTGAAAACAAGGTGGAAGAATAAGAGCATGATTTTTTTTTTAAATGCAAAATACCATTAGTCAGACTGCTTGTCTCCACGTTTCGTTATCAACACACAATTCTTATACAGGCAAAAAAAAAAAAAAAAAAATTACATTTCAATTATATGATGGTTTAACAGTTTCCAGATCATCAGGAAAAAGGATGTTTTTTCCAGGCAAGAATCTCGACAATGAACATGCATAATTCATTTTTTAAAGCTCCATTCTCTGAGTGGATCATTTGACTGTTATAATGCCTCGAGGGGGTTAGACTGTTTATTTTTTTTATTGAAATAATCTCTCAGTGGGAGAAAAGTTGCCCATGTGGGAAATCAGATTTTCTTCCAATGCAGCTACACTGCAGAGTCAGACAGAAGAAGTCAAGGAAGAAGGTATACAAATGAATTCCTCTATTTTAAAAACAAACTCAACAAACAAACAAAAATATATGTCGTGGAACAGTGAACATAATCTCTTCTGTGACGCTAGTTGACTTCCAAGTTGTTCTAAATTCAAAATAATTTTCCCACCAGCCATCTATCCGTTTTCTTCCTCATATGACGGGTCGAGTCACGGGGGTTGCAGCTTGAGCAGCCAAGCCCAGACATCCATCTCTTCCATGGGGATGCTGAAGTGTTCCCGAGACAGCCAGGAGACATTCTGTACTCCCCACATTTCTCTCTGGAAACATTTTTACACAACCATTTGGTTGAACTCCAAATTGTGGAGTTCTACTGGGTATTCGACTTTGAAAGTTCGACTGTATTCTGATTGGGCTTCATATTTACGCTTGAAATATTACTCACTATAATCAAACTCTTCATTCACCTGCAACCATTTCGTTGTAGTTACACATTAGTGTGTGTGAGTAGGGTTGTAAACAATGTGCACCACATAGCTGACATGCCTAATGTGCTTGTTAGCCACTTCGGGCTTGCCTGAGGCAAGAGTCTCAGTCCTAGGACTTATTTATGGCACATTTTAACAAGCCTAGTCAATGTGGGCCAGCCTCGCAAGATTACAGTCAATAGCAATGTCATGTGCCACACACAGTGCAAATGAGCTCTCCAAATGTTACTGGGCCTTCAACTTATGTCCGTGACTGCAGGAAGACTGAAGCATGATTGCCTGAGGCTGCAAGGAGCACATTCATGTGTTCAGAATAGGATATTCTAAAAGTAGAGTGATATATTTTACATACTCCAAACCGTAATATAAAATCGAAGAGAATGTCAGGTGGTGACAAAATCACTCACCCCTAAATAATTCATTGCAATCTTACCATCAGAATCTCTGCCATAATGTCAAAAAATGTCCATGTGTAGCATTTTGTGCCCTGGTAGGCCGATTTTGTTATCTTTGGGCAGTGCCAGGGAAGCTATGCATATTTTTAGCCTTAATATTAAGGTAAGCTAGACAGCTGTCAGCAGTGGTACTATTATTACCTTTTCATGGGATGTTTTATTTTGTTGTTTTTCTTTAGGTGTGGGTATTCCTATTTGTTCACCCACGAATTATGTCGTCAAAGCACAAGCAATGGTAAGATGTATCTCATCTTTTGTGTTTCTCTGCAACACTTGCTTTTCATTCACACTCACAAAGCAGCACCAAAACATTTCCATTCATCACTTTTCTATACTGTTACAATACTTGCTGTATACTGTTCAGGGTCATGGGTAGCTTGAGTCTGCAGCTGACATTCAGAAAGACAATATCACATGCTGAAATGGTTTCCAGTCAATCACAGGGCACATAAGAGACAGACAATAATTTACAAAAGATTTATTCAAAGCTTTTTACACATTATTGTATCAGTGTAGTTGGTTGCAGGTCTTGGTAATGTTTAAAAAAAAAACAACAACAAAAAAACACTTTTTCGGAATGCATCCAAACTTTTTGAAGTGATGTGTTGGACACACATTTTTTAATTGAAAATGATGACCATGTTGTGCTCTGCAATTGGTTAACCCCAAATCAGGTGGGATAGGGTTTCACTCACACGTGGCCTTATTGATTAATGAATCTTCTCCTGAGCAGATCGGGTAGAACTAAAAACACACCACAGGATAATTTGTCAAGATCATCTTTTGAGACTCTAGTGACTTTTGTCGGGAAAGGAAGAACCAAGTTCAAAATGGAACAAACTCTGCAAGTGGCTCAGTGTTTCCTAACCTTTACTAAGCCAAGACACCTTTTTTCTATTGGAAAAATCACAAAACACCAACACATAAATATGTCACACCAAGTATGAAAACTGAAATAATGATCTTGTCTCATTTTATTCACATCTACTCACTCAATGTGAAATTTGAGGCTGCTTTTACGTAAGTACAATGCTCTTATACTTGCTGAAACCATGATTCATTTTGTTTTATGAATGACAGTATGGATACATAACTTTATTGTACTTTGTGCTAAGGAAGAGCATTCGATTCTTCTCAGATACATCCCTCATATTGTTAGATAAACAAATAAATATTTGTAGGTCTATTAATTTTCACACACATTAAGTGAAATTTGACTGCACCATCCTTGATGATCCACTAGTGAGAATCATTGCTTTCCATCCTGTGCAAAATGTATCAGCATTATTTTGAGTCACATGTTCATGTCTTTGTTAAATGAAGATAGCCTCACATGAAAATGTAATAATGAAAAGATGTTATTTTGCCGCGAAAAAACTCACCAGCCTCCATTGCTTTGTAAATAAAATGCGATTTACTTAACATTCATTAAATAGGTTATTTGGCAATCAGATTTGAACAGGTCAAAACTTCTGTGTCAGTCCATCCATCCATTTTCTCCAACGCTTGTCCTCATTCCAGTGGCGGTTTGTGCTGGAGACTATCCCTGGTGACTTTCACACTCACATTTCATCTGATGGACAATTTCAAGTCTTTGAGTAATTTATCATGCACGTTTTGGAAGGAGGAAGCCGGTGTACCCAGTGAAATCCCATACAAGCACAGGGAATATGAATGCACATTTCACATTGTCAGGCCAGAGTCTGAGACATTTTCTCTGACTGTTCACCCTATACAGTACACCCTAATCAATATTGGCACGTATGCTGTTCTATGCTGCAGTGTGCTTGGGTGGCAACACTTATGTAGCCACCCAAAAAAAAAAAAACGATGGCCATTGTGCTCATTGATTAGCTATTAGGTAATCGCGCCCTGATTTGGTGGCATTTGAAACAGGTAAAAAAAAAAAAAAAAAAGCTCATTTGTGTTTTTATGAAGTTTAGGTCTACCAGAAAACGTTCGTAAGCAGTAGGGCCCTATGTTAGAATGTGATAAATGTAAAAAGGACACTTATCTCACTCACTTCACTGGCAGCACTTCCAAAACCAGAATGTGCTGTTTTCCTGAAGAAGTTGGTTTGTGGGGAGAGAGGGGCAAGGGTGAATTCATGAATTAACAACCTTGTGGTAATGGAACTGAAGGTCTCATTGCGATGAAGGCAGCCATGCATCCACTCCTCACTTATTAGGGTGCAATAAAGAGACACTGTGTTTAGATTAATACCCCCGCCTTGGTGGGTTTACTGGGAAGAGGGAAGACAAGTAGAAAGAGAAGAGAGATAAAATGACAGTGAAAGGAAGCGGATTTCCAGCAGGACAACAGCGTAGATTCCACAAATGCCTGGATTAGCATTGCACGAGGCACAACAAAGCAAAACAATGGCATCCACCCACAATTGTCGGACTAAATATAACAACCCGAGATCCACTGTATACCAAATATTCAGGTCCCAATTCCAATGAGTAAAAACAGGATGCAATGATTTGCAAAATTCTTTGCAACTTATTTTCAATTGAATAAACAAAGTAATGTTCAAACTGATGAGTGTTATTGGGGGTTTTTTGTTTTGTTTTTTTTCCAAATTTTCTCCCATTTTAAATTTGATGCTAGCAATATGTTCCAAATCAGCTGGGGTAGGGGAAAGAAAAGAGGAGGAATGCTAAAAAAAAAAAACCCAACAACAACAACAACAACAACAAAAAAACAACATTCCGCAGGTGAACAGGTTAACTGGAAACCGCTGAGTATAAAAGGAGCATTCCCAAAAGGCTCAGTTGTTCACAAGCAAGGCTGGGGCGATGTTCACTGCTTTGTAAACCACTGCATGAGCAAATAGTCCAACAGTTTAAAAGCAACATTTCTCAATGTACAATCGTACGTCGCTTAGGGATTTCATCATCTGATGTCCAGAATATCGTCAAAAGATTCAGAGAATCCTCAGAACGTCTGCACGTAAGTGGGACGCCCCCTCCCCAAAAAACAAACAAACAAAAAAAAAATGCTGAATGCCTGTGACTTTTGATCCCTCAGGCAGCACTGCATTAAAAACCAGAACCAAAGTATAAAGGTTCAGAAGCGCTTCAGAAACATCGTCAGTGTACGCAGTTCTTTGCTACTTCTACAAATGCAAGTTCACACTCCAAACCATAAGAGGCAAAAGCCTCAAAAACAACCAGAAATATTGCCAGTTTCTTTGGGCCGAAGCTCATCCGAGATGTGGAAATGCGTGCTGTGGTCCGATAAAAGGTTTTGAAGCTGCATCTGCTGCCAGCCGAGCCAAGCAACGTATTTTTCAGGGTCATCTCTTAAATCTAATATTGTTTATTGTAATTCCAATTATATTATTGCTTGTGTTCGTTAAACATAATCTACATTTTGAAAAGCGAGACCCTGGACTGTAGACCAGCTAATGTTATACATCAAGCAAGAAATCTAACCACAAAAGTTCAATACTTGGTGCTCTCTCTTCCTAATCGCTTCCCGAGTGTTGTTGAAAACAAACGTGACTTAGCATAGTGTTAAATAAACTTTTCCAACCTTCTCTGCCACACCTTCATACACTCCCGGAAGGATTTTTACAGAATCCTCCACAGCTCCGTTGTCACAGTCATCTTGATGTTATCCACATTTTCAGAATGGCTCCCCTTAACTCTTGTGAGGTTGGAGAAGAAGAGAAAAAGTCACAGACAGCCAGGCCAGGGGAGTAGAGAGGTTACTGTAGCACAGCGATGCTCTTTTCAGCCACAAACAGTTGGATGCTCCGGTCATTGTGAGCAGGCGCGTTGTCAAGGTGAAGCAGCTGTGAGTTGTGCTGCCATCAGTCTCACCATTCACTTATTGAACAAGCAAATGTCACAGGATGCCTTTGTAGACGTGCTGGTCGATCACTTGGCCCCGTGGCAAAAACTTGCAACGGATAGTGACCCTCACATCAAAGAATGAGAGCAACATGACTTTGACTATGAACTTTGACTGTCTAGCTTTCTTTAATTATGGCTGCATTGGATTTTTCAACTGAGGGCTCTGGCATTTTGTCATACTCGAAGATCCGTGACTCATAGCGGGTGATTAAATCCATGCATCCATCCATTTTCTGATCTGCTTTATCCTCAGAAGGCTCGTGGGGCACGCTGGAGCCCATCCCAGCTGTAGGTGCGGGATACCCTGAACTCGTTGCCAACCAGTGGCAGGGAAAACATAGATGAACAACCATCGCGCTCACACTCATACCTAGGGACAATTTAGAGTACTGCCACGCATGTTTTTGGAATGTGGGAGGAAACCGGAGTACCCGGAGAAAACCCATGCAGGCACAGGGAGAACATGAAAAATCCACACAGGAAGGCCGGAGCCAAAATTGAACTCTGGACCTCTGCAGTGAGAGGCCGACGCACTAACCAGTCACCCGCCAGGCCGCCTAGTATCCCTTTAAATTTGTTCTTTTTTTGTTTTTTTGTGTTGGGTTTAGCCTAACTTAAGCCTGCCTGCTTGTCAACAAATGTGAATGTTATTCCTCAGTTTCTATTTCCAGAAAGCATGGCGTTGGTTTTGTTTTGCATTTACATGAAAAAAAAAAAAAAAAAAGCAGCTCGATGAAATCTCCTGAAGGGTAAAAAGAAATTTGATCTCACAAACACTGAGCAACAGTTTGCTCTCGCTCATCTTCACCTGCCTCCAACTGCTCTTTAAACACAACATCAGTTTTCCGTCTTATTTTATTTTATTCTAACTCACCTAGACCTTATAATCCACTTTCAACAAGCAATATCTGCACCTGGGGTAACCATGGCAACACTTCACTTAAAAATAGACCTAGAGGAAGAAAGGTATAAAGTCTCTTGGTACAATATGTTTCATATGCCACATGATTCAGGATGATGTATTGCTCTGTTGGTCCTTAAATCCACTTTGCACTTTAGCTGGCTTGGTTTTATTGCTTCATTTAAGGATTTTGCTCTTTAGGATGCCGCAATTGTGTTTAGGTATCCGGAAAAAAATAAAACACTATGTTTCGCATTGATATTTCATGAAAGAGTCGCCTCTTGAGGTTGTGAATGTGTCAGAACATTAATGGGTGCCCTGTTGACATCCATCAAGATTTTTTTTTTTTTCACTTTGCATGTTCACTTCTGGTGAACGGGCCTGACGTTGAAGTGTTATGCTAAATTTCTCGATTAACAATTTTTAAACCCTTTTCAAAATGTGACACAGAACAGAACGTTTTGACAGCTATGA